TTCATATTCAATATGAAAATGAAGGAAGAGAAAAGAAATAGCTTATTTGAATAAAAGAATAAGCTATCGGATTGATTCAATTTCATATTGAATATGAAAATGGAGGAAAGGAAATGAAATAGCTTATTCGAATAAAAATATAAGCTATTGGATTGATCTAATTTTATATTCAATATGAAAATCAAGGAAGAGAAAAGAAATAGCTTATTCGAATAAAATTATAAGCTATTGGATCGACCCAACTTCAGATCGAAGACGAAAGCGAAAGTGAGGAAAAAAACAGCTGAATAGGAACAACCTAGCCAATTATTGAATTGAGGCAAGTTGATATGCATTATGAAAATGGAAGATAGAGAAGGAGTTAGCTGTTTTGATCATGTGAGTCAGGCAGTTTCTTTTTCGTTTTCTTCATTGTCATATAGAATACGAAAGTAGGTCGTTCTCGTAGATGACTGTATGTGTGGTTTATATAATAATGTTTTCTTGGCATCATTTTCGCGTTTAATACAAGAGCAAGTCAATCTATGAAGTGGTGGCATTGTGCGTGAGGGCTATAATATTGATAACATGCGTATAACATAAACGTGAATGTTGTGATTGCCGATTTTGTATTGTTGTTAGGCGTTGAAATATGTATGGGTAGTGTAGTGTCTATAATAATCGTAGGTGAGATGTAGTATAATATGGAAGTAAAGGTCTTATCGATATATAAGAGTGATAGTATTGTTATGGGTCGAGCTGTTTCTGTCTGAAAAATTAGAACAGGATGAAATATTGAACTTTTTTTCTTTTTTTTTGTTTGTTGACCTTTCGATTGAATTTTTGGAATTAAACGAACTCAATATTCTACAGATAGTATGGATAAGTCGTTAATTTGCAATTGGTGTAGATCGTGGGATTATTGTATCGAACGATTTGTTCGTCGATAACAAGATAAGTGTATTCTATTAAAATACATTCAATTCGAAAAGATTCTGTCATTTGAAATTCGTCGGTAGTAGAAGGATCAACTAAACTTTAAAAAGTAAACAAAAAATCATTGTTTTCCTGCATCGTCGAATTTTGTTGGAAAAAATTCTATTTAATTTCTCTCAATTTGATGTTGGACAAGAACTTTAATATTAAAATTAATTTTAATATGAAATAAAATAAGATTATGTGTATAAAATTACCAAGGCACTTCTCAATATAATTAGTTTTCATTCGAACCAAGTCTTTCATCGGAAAATTATCTTGTCAAAGTTTTCAATGTGGACAAGTCTTTTTTTTTTGTATACAATAAGTATCTTTGTTATGGAGTTAGTTCGAATGTTTTTTTCTGAAAGGTACAAAAGATGAATATTTGTTCTATTTCTTTTAGATTTAAATAAATAATTTTATCTTTAGTATTATATCAACGATATTTCTTTAGTTAAGAAGGTTTCATTGTAAATTTAGAATGAGGCAAAATAATTGTAACATCAGATATTTTGCATATATGCCGACACAGAGAAATCCTATAACATTTATGTTTTCCTTAAAAGGTGTCTCATGAAATTCTCTGCAAGCATAACAGTGACAAATCTCATCGAGTTATTTAAATGATACTCTTATAAGGCTGAAACTCAAGCACCATTTGATATTCAAATGTTCTATTATTTTCAGCGAAACAAAAAAGAAAATAACATAAAAAAGGAAGACTTCTTGTTATTTCTAGTAATTTTTTCCATGATAACTTTATTTGAAGAAGGCTGAAGACTGGTGATACAAAAAATCATGAATTTTCACGGAAAATATCATCACTCAGCTAGGAAAACTTTTTGAAGAATAGAATTGATCGTGTTGTGAATATAATTCAAATGAATTATTGACACGTTTCAGTTATTTGTTTCTTCAAACATTCTCTTGTTTTGATTGCTGAGTGATCAATGTTCTTATTGCAGCTATTTCATTAACCAAACTTCATATTCAATATGAAAATGAAGGAAAGAAAAAGAATTTGCTGAATATATCTACATATATATACGATTAAGCAAAATCATTTACCCAACTTCATATATAATATGAAAATAAAGGAAAGAAAAAGAATTTGCTGAATATATATATACGAATAAGCAAAATCATTTGCCCAACTTCATATATAATATGAAAATGAAGGAAAGAAAAAGAATTTGCTGAATGTGATAATTGGAATAAGCAAATCGATTGACTCATTTGTTTCTATATATGAAACAAACTCTACGTATGCGATTCCGATATAACTTTTTTTATACAGATTCGGTCAACACAACAATGGTCTAGTCGATCGATGCTGTATATATGTAAGGCAGTTGCCTTACTGCCCACAGGGAAAGCGAATTGCTGAATATATATACGAATAAGTGAAACGAATGACTCAACATCATATTTAATATGAAAATGAAGACAAGGAAAATAGTGGCGTAACTAGACCAGTGGCGACTCGCTGGCGGTGCCCGGGCAGTAGAAGGTGGCGCCATCCTTGTTTTGCTTCTAACTTTTTAACTAAATGTTATGAAAACCTGAACTTTTTATCATAAATCTGGTATAAACAGGTAGTACATCTGGTAAAAATTTCAGGTCCTGATAACATTTAGCTAAAAAGTTAGAAGCCAAAAAAGAATGGCGCCACCTTCTACTGCCCGGGCACCGCCAGCGAGTCGCCACTGGTCTAGTTACGCCACTAAAGGAAAAGTATTTGCTGAATATATATATATATATATCTGATTAAACAAAATCATTTACTCAACTCCATATATATCAATAAAAGAAGCCTTGCCTTCAAAAGAAAAAAAAAACTTTATATATAATATGAAAACGAAGACAAAGAAAAGTATTTGCTGAATATATATATTTGATTAAGCAAAATCATTTACCCAACTTCATATACAATATGAAAATAAAGGAAAGAAAAAGAATTTCCTGAATATATATATATTAGAATCAACAAGCAGATTGGCCTAGCTTCATGTATAATATAAGAATGAGGCAAAGAAAAAGAAATCACGGAATGAGATAAATCGAACGAGAAAATCGACTGACTGATTTGTTTCTATGTATGAAGGAAACGCTAAGTATGCGATTCCGATATAACATTTTTTGTGCGGATTCGATTAACTCAACAATGATCTGATTTCTTGATGCTGTTGTATGACAATAGCCTCAGCTGTTCATGTGTAATGAGGTTCATTGTTAGAATGTATAGAATCATATGGAAAATGTTTGCGATAAGTGGCACAACATATCAACCAATGAAAAGTTGTCTATAAAAAAAGAGGGTACTATATAATCTTAAGAGAAGATGCAGATGCGATAGAGGGGCTAGCGGTTATCTTTGGAAAAAGAATCAGACCTATTTGTAATGAATCTCGAATAGACATTCGTTTGACATTCTATTCTCGAAGCCCATATTTTATGTCTGAGATAGGATACGGTTGGTAAGGAAGGTCAGAATTATGATTATATAATTCAATGTATTTCATAAGTTTTTTGGTTAATATGGTGTTTGAAGGTTTGCATATGCCTTCCGGAGTGTATGTGCATGTGATCATAAAAATCGAATGTTATGACTAAACGAAAGAGCAGAGTCTGAAATTCATGATCACATTATATTGCACTATGCAACTGAAGTGAATACTACATGTTGGTGGGAATGTTGGGTGGATACACGCTTGGGAACAGAGGAAATTAGTTGCTTTATGCAGCACGTTCCATGGTAGTATCTATAGGATGTTAGCAATATGAACATGAACATATTTACGGAGCGATATTGCTAGGCGATTAGTAGAAGATGGCGGTAGTCCTTCGGCTAATCGAATGTATTCATTCAATTTCCTGATGTGGACTCGATATATCATATCTTCTAGACAGTCCTATACACGCAAGAGACTTTTCCTCTGTTCTATCTATGGTAGCCAAGCGACGCTTACAGCAAAGTAGTACACTCACTTCTTCCTATATGCCAATACTGACCAACCTGCACAATTGGCAGCCAGTATCTCACAATGGCTGTATATTATGTGAGGAAATGTCATGAATACACATATGCAATGTTATCTGCACTCATAATCAATGAGAGAGTGGTGCCACGGATCGAATAATCAGCACTCACGGGAAGATAAACGTTCTCTAAACTGTATGCCGTCATACACAGACGTTGTACATTGAACTACCACAATGTGCTTAGAGAATTCGAGAAGTCATTTTCATCGATATCAGTCCTTTTGTAAGGCAATGACATCGAAGAGAATGCAATCTGGAACAGTCAGCGGTCCGACTAACAGTTTGTCAAGATCTAAAGAAAGTAGGACAGCCATAGTTGCGATTGTCAGTGTCAAAGACACATTCAAAAGACAATAGATGTATATACAATCTGTTTATCTCAGACATTTGTACTTTTATTGTGCTGATGTATTCTTGACTTGCATAATTTGCTCATTGTTAATAATTCTACTAAGCTTTCTACAAAATGAGTACTACAATTTTTCTTTTCATTTTGTAGATCAGCTATCAGAGAAACGGTAATTCTTACGATATTAAATGACGTCGAATCAATATTTTTCATCTTCAAATACTTCTGATGATGGTAAATATTTCACATATTCATGTTTTCATGATTTTCGACTATTTAACATGTAGATGTTATCTACATCTGTCATATAAATGATCGTCAATGTCATCGTTGTCGAGCAAAACAGACTCGACTTCGTCGACAAAAACAACGACGACGTACAGCTGAACGTATTGAACAAATATTGGCATCTGAAGGACATTACAAAGAGCAATTACGATTTCTTAGTAATCGTCTTGTTTGTGTAGAAAATGATTCTAGTGCACAATGGGAGGAACTTGCCGAAACCACAGGATTACTTGCATTGTCTATTGCAGTTGACATCTGAAGAACGATATAAAAAAATTGAACATGAGTACTTTTGTGCTCGTAGTTGTGGATAATATGACAGAGCTTTCAAAAAACATTTTTTCTGAAACGATATTTTGTGGTTTTCAGATTTCATTGAATAACATTAATTATTTTGCTACGTGTTGTTATGGCTGCTCGACAATCATGGTCGAAAGTTTCTGTTGATGCTGGTAAGTTACTGGAATTCTACTGACTTTTGTGGTTGGGCACCACTACAAATTTTGTTTCCTATAAGTAGATCAAATCAGTACTCAAGCTCTACCAGGAATGGTAGATAAACGTTGTTGGCATCATAATAATCGTCGATTTATGGGCGACCTAGCTGAATACGTTCTTGATTTGGAAAAAAGGGAGGTGGCTGAACGGCATGCTCTCAATGATGAAACTTCGTTTTTGGGTAACTTATGCAGAAAAAAATCGGATGAAATAGATCAACTGACGGAATCACTTGCATTATGCATTGCTTTTGGCACTAAAGCAACAGTGAAAAGACATTGAGCATTAGGGGCTTTTGCTCGTAATTCCTAATAATATAATATACTTTTCAAAAGAAAACTTATTTTGAATAAGTTTGATGTTCTTCTAGATATATATACATATATATATATATATATATTTATTGATTTATATAATTCATTAATTGTTATTTATTCTGATGTCTGGTGAAGAGTGCTGGCCGAAAAATACTATATATTCTGGTACGTCATTGAAATGCTTTTGACTTCAGTGTGTTTACACTACATGAAATCAATTTTTTTGCTTCTATGAGTAGATTGTGCTACTGATGAAGATCTACGATGGTCTTTCAATGAACACTGTTCCTACTATGAAGATCGTCTATTCATGGAAAATTTAGCTAATTATGTGTTATGTTTTGAAAAACGACAGATTATTGAACGTCGTGCTCTCGATAACGAAATTTCGTTCTTATACGACTTATACAAAAGACAGTCAGATGAAATTGATCAATTGAATTCATCGTTAGTAATGCAAATCAATTTTGTAGAAAATATGTCTTAGAATTTGCTAGACTCTTCATGTACACTTGATTGGAAGGGCAATGTATTTTTACAATTTCAATATTCGACTCATTGTGAAGTAAATATCTCTTGATTGTTCGGATATTAATAAATGCTTTACATTTGATGCTCTGAATCTATTCTATGTAAACACACCTTGATATAAAAATAACTACGTTCATATAATCAACTATACCCCTTTCAATATTTTTTGTCATTTTGGCTGTCTATCTTGACTTCCATATGATTGAATTTATTTCGAATTTCAAGGTGTTTGTTGACTATCTATGTAGCTTTTATATTCAGAATATACCTGATGATGACCCTTAAGCAAGGTCGAAACGCGTCGTATGATGCTTTGAATCTATTCTGTGAAGATAACACATCCTCTAATTGACAATATATTCACAATGTTAATATTTAATAGTTTATTTTTAAGATATTTTGTTTTCTTGTACAGAAATAGTATCATATAAACTAAGATAATTTAAAATTAAACATTGAAATTGATTGTTAACTTAAAAAATAAACTAATTATCATTAGAAACGTGATTGAATTCAATATCTTTTAATGGATCGATTAAATGAAATCTGTAATTTTTCTCCTGAAAGAAACACACTAAAAATTATTCTTATTATTTCTTATATTCCAGATTGTTTTATTGTCAATTAATTTGTTTTCTCGTCTTCTTTTGAAATTCAAACATTTAGAATAACATAATGATTTTTAATGCATAAAGGAAAGCTTTTCCCTAGACTGAAAGGCTAGGGTCTAGAAACCGTAATTCGCCTGCGTCTGTTTGTCCGTCTGTCTGTAACAAGCGCATGGCACAAATGACCATTTCCATGGCACAAATGATCATTTCTATGGTACAAATGACCATTTCTATGGCACAAATGACCATTTCCATGGTACAAATGACCATTCCTATGGCACAAATCATTCCGTCAGTCTAGCACCCAGTGAAACGACTTTCAATGTCGATGAACCTTACTTGTCAACTTCGATCTGTTATACGTCAATAGACATTTATCATATCGAACCATATGTAAACTATAATCGAGATCGATTTAAGTCAAATTATTTATATAAATCGATCCGAAAATTTCAACTCACATTTCATCTATGTTAGGTCTTGATCGACTATGTTATTTTAATCTTTTCTTGAACTTTATTTAGTCTATATATATTTCAAGGGCAACAAATGACACATTATGTCAAAAATTGATTCAATGTCGAAAAATCTACAGTAGACGTATTTAAATCTTATATAAGATTAGTTATTATATGTCTCCTCAAGCAACCATTCGACAGACATTCTCTTTCATCAATTTCAGCTTTCGATAAATTGACAGCTGCTCAAAAGACTACTTCAACATACAATTTTTCACCATTCGAATGATTGTCTACAAAGTAATCGAAATGTGACCGAAATGAAAAGGTTTGATTTAATTGATCTTTCATTATCGGATCGTTAGAGCTCATCAAATATGTACATGAAATAGAAGATCGAAGTATGACTACTTATAATTGACCACTGTCAAACATCTAAATTAAGCCTGAACTACTTTCCTTCTATGCAAGTCGTTTTATTAAGTTTAGTCAAATCATAACGCTTTGACAACTCTATTTGCCAAATTTAATACTCACTATCTAACTTTAAAATAGTGTCGAATGAAAATGTCAACATGTTTTACAGCAAAGACATATTCTGATAAAACATTAAAGTCATTCCGTATTTATTTCAAAAATGACTCTCGAATCAGTGAATATTTTCTTGGGGACACGTTATAAGTGAATCTTCCTAACATTTAGCACCTATATATTTGAATGTTGCTCGTGAAATAACATTTATTAA